AATTCATAACAACAAATCAAAGCAGAGATCATGACAATATAGCAACAAAATAAATAAAGCAACAAATAGCATCCCAGTTGGTCTTGGCTGGCCTCCATAACCACTGACGGAAATGTGTGAGAAATGGTCAATGGTTTATGTTTAAACAGTATAGCTTTCTTGCACATCCTTGTCAGGGAACTCCATTAATTGCCTGAATGCACAATCCTGTTAAAGGTACACTGAGTAACTTAATGGCCCTTCAAACTTAAACCTTTGTCTTAAAGTATATTTTTAGTTGTGACAACTCTTGATCCAAGGAATATCAGTGTGTATCAGCTGCTGCAACGACATTTGAATTGTGAATAAATATTAGAGCAAAATAGGCTATTGAGTCAATCTAGAAGTACTCTTGAAGAATACAAGACTTTAACCAAAATTAATACTATATCAACATAACCAAAATGAATATTATATCAACATAACTGGTTTGCATCAAATTCTCAGAAATATTTCCAAATACTTCCAAATTAATCAATCCAATTAAATTGTATGGAAACTGGAATCAGAATAAGAAAATAAGAATAATTGTGAATCAAATTGAATAGGGTATATGTCGAACGTCACCTGACCAAACTTGGAAAACAGGCCTCATCACTTCCGCTTGTTGGAGAATGTGTTAACAGCCGTATTCAATAATGGCGATATCTACGGACTTTTAAGGTAATGAGTTAAACTAGCTAGCTGTTTTTATTGTTGACGTTTTATTAAATTTAATATCTAAATGTTAGTGAAAAAAAAAACTTTTAGATATCAATCTGCATATGTGATGGACATTGGTTATGATCGTCTTTGTATCTACTTTGAATGTATATTGAGTAAAACAGCTTCATATTTAATGAATCATATGCAAAACGCTTGAACCGAAAGCAATGAGACCCGTTTAACAAAATACGGAAGTCTGTTGAGCATAACCCCTATTGAATCATGATCAGAGCTGAATTAAGAACTGGTGAATCAAATGAAATCATGAAATCTGTATCAATCCCCAGCCCAACATCTGAGCGATCATTTAAAATAAATAAATAAATACTTACAAAGCCAAAGATGCATTGATTCTAGGTGGCACGTGAATAAAAAGCGTTTTGGATGTCGTTTTGGGTGTTGTTGTTTTTTTTTTTTTTTTTGCAAAACATCTCTTTAATTATTAAAGGGGTCATATGATGCTGCTAAAAATAACATTATTTTGTGTATTTGTTGTAATGAAATGTGTTTATGCGGTTTCAAGTAAAAAAAAAAACATTATTTTCCACATACTGTACATTATTGGTTCTCCTCTATGCCCCGCCTTTCTGAAACGCGTCGATTTTTACAAAGCTCA